GCTTCTGGGTAACCAGGTTGCTAAAGAGTTGAAAGCAGTCACTTTCACTTTTGGGGGGTGTTAGGCTAAGAGAAGTGGAAGGAGGGAAACCAAGCAAAAGAGAGGCTTTCTTGGACTTTGAAAACATGACTTTGAGAGTTGCCACTGAGGATGCAATCCTTGGATTAATTCCGATCCCCTTGTTAAAACAGGGTGTAAAGTTTATTTACAATTATCTGTACAGTTTGAGTGACAGCTCGGGACTTCACAGAAACAGAACAAAAGCATTCTTTCTGAAGGGAAGTTGCAGGCAGACTTTCCCTGCACCTGTCAGAAGCAAGACAGACAAACAGACCTATACATCATGAGCCAGGCATATGGACATTGGCCTTTTTGCCTCTTGGAAGGAAGTGAAAAATGTGTTAAACAGCCTTAGGTGCCGCACCCTTCAACACTGAAACCACATGGAGTGGGGGAGGTGTGGAGTAGGGAGCCATGGCAGCAACTCCCCAGCGTAAGAAATACCTCAAGTGAACAGCCAAGAAGCCCAGCTGGGGGTGGGGGTGTGGGGGCTGTGGAAGAGGGGTGTGTGATAAAGCCAACATCTTCTGCCTGGTCAAGATCTTGGTTCAGAGGCCCTGCCTCAGTGGAGATTGGAGACAAATTCTCAGTCCTGATTCCAATCACCAAGGAGACGACTCAGGTGATAAATTGGTTGGCTTCTCTCCTCGCTGTGTTTTGGCATCTCAGAATGAAACTTTTGGCAGCTGTGTGTGGGGAGGTAGTGGCAAAGTGGCTACAGTGTGATGCAGTTTTAATAAAAATTTTATTACACAGCCATAATGTAATCGACACTTCTCCAAATCCAAATGATACTAAATACAGATCTACATGGTGGATCAGAATGACTCCAGCAAATTATACGGATTCTATAATTTCATGTCTTTTAAAACCAGAAAAAAAAAAACAGTCCAGGTTTGTCATGATAGGAGAGGTCCCAGCAGCTTCCAGGGCTCTGCCGGAGTCTGGGCAATGTTTAGCAGTCTGTGATTCCACATTTACACAACAGTCTATAAAGGGTTTCGGTCAATGGACTATTCAAGTATATATGATTTTAATGAGTCCATTGCCCACCTTAGCCCAACCGAACTGCGTCACAGCTACCACAGAGCTATGTTACAGTCACAGTTTACCAATTTTACAGTCACAATACTTTTAAAAAACCATCCATTGCTGTTTTTTTAAAATAAAAAAAGTGTAAACTAAGTTAAAGCAACACCGAGGCTCTACTAAACCCAGAAGAGTCACCAAGTTCATTTTGTATGTTTAAATACAACGTAAGTCCATGATTTCCCATCATCCCACTTCCTTACAGAAAAGTAGGGTGATGAAGTACAAAGCAGAGCTTCTAAATTCCTCTCCCTCTTGTGGGACTCAGCAGCTCTCAGCTGTTTCTTTAGCTTAGTTCTTGGTATATATAGTCAGCTGTACTTTGTTCTGAAAAGATTTGTTAAATGCCACTTTTATTTACACTTGGAGCTTTACACCTGAGAATGATTATCAAGCAGTCAGCTTATCTCTTTTCAAACATTTCATAAAGACATACACACTTCTTTGCTGGCCTCACCCTAGCTGCACAACAATATATATGCTTACCATATATATATGTATACACACACACAAAACTGCACATGCTTGTAACATTTGCAACCTAAATCTTTTTGTGTTCGTTCTCTCCACATTCACGTTGAATACTTTCTCTTAAAAAACAAAACATTATTCTTTCCGAAAGAGCAAAACAGAATCACTAGGAAGAGACAAGAACATGGGGTGGGAAAAAGACACTCTATGTTCAGCCGAGAAGCTGTAGGCTGTACCCATGGGTTGAGCAAGACACCTGCACTGCCTTCTCTGCTACCTGGCCGTGGGCTTCCCTCCCACCTGCCAGGACACAGCCTACAGGGCAGGGGGCAAACTGGGGTGTTTTCTCTGAGGTGGGGGAGGGAGGATCGGGGGGGGGAGAGGAGGGGGGGGAGGGTATGTTACACAGCTACAGAAGTCAGGCCTGTTTAGTAAGAAGAATCACATTTAATGAGTTTCTTTCTTGCAGTTTCAGATGCTCATGTACAGCTGAAAAAAATCTGAAACAGCTATAGACCCATGACAGACCGATACAAAGAGTACTGCATTTTAAAAAAATGATAAAAAAATCCACGCACTTACAGACACACACAAACACACACGTACGTACGTACACACACACACACACACACACACACACTCTCTCTCTCCCTCTCTCTCAAACATCCCCCCCTCCCTCCCCACAAATGTACACTTTTTGGAAACTAAATTGGATTTGAAAACCTCTCTTCTGCAGAGATGGGAAGAAGAGAAAGATGAGGAGAGAGGGAGGAGGGCTGCAGGTGCCCAGTCCCCACTCCCTCCACAAGTGTCCGGTGCCAAATGTTCAATGGTTGGGTCCAAGGCAGCCCGCGGAGGAGGCCGCCCAGTGCTGCTGCTGTCGCCCCCAGGGGCTACAGCAAGAATCCCAGCTCCACGCTAATACTGAATGTGTGCAGAGTGGCCAATGAACTGTGCTGGTTTGTTTTTTTTTTTAAAAAAAAAAAAAAAAAAAGGCAAACACAAATCTAAAGACATGGATAAAACCCAAGAGAGCCCAGGCCCACACTGGGTGAGAGGCCTGGGGGGTTGGTGGGAGATGGTGCAGACAAGGGAGGTCTATACAGCAAATGGTTTATATTACAGATGACTGGCAGTTTAGAGTCTCTTCCCAGTTCTACTGCTGCTCCAGCCCAAAGAGGGCAAATCAAAGGAAAAGAGGAAAGGTGGGACACTGTGATGGGGCATGCAGGGTCAGAAGCAGCAGGCTGGGTGCGCTCAAATAAGCCCTCGCCGTTTTTTGTAGTCTTCCAAGTTTAGAGATCTCCTTGGAGCCCCATCTTTGGCTGGTGGAGCCTTGGAGGTGATGGCCAAAGCCTTTGACTCTGTGGGAAAGAAGAGCAAATTGGCATCTGAGGCGCCTACGAAGTCTCTTGAGTCTCCTGCTTCACTCCTTCCAGTCGGGTTGACTGTCCCTGCTCCCTCTCAAAACGTGCCCACAGCCCCGCTTACTCTGGCCTCTGTAAATAATGATGAGCAGACACCTGCACTTCTTCCCTAAAATCAGGCCTCCCCACTGACCGAGAGAGCCATGTTGCCATCTGGTCCTCAGCCATCACCACTCCCCCCACCTGTACCTACCTGAGCTGGGAACTTGTAAATCAATCTTCACATCGAAATCATGTACTTTGAACAAATCTTCTGAGAGGTCACTGGCTGACTTAGAATTCAAATCTTTATCCTTTCCCTGACCCTGCAATGTGAAGAGAAAAACTAACTATAAAAGCATAAATACAAGAGACTTCAAGAAGCAGTGGTCACTAATAGTAAAAAAAAAAAAAAAAAAAAAAAAAAAGCTAAGGCCCTTTTCTGATTCCTTCCCTCAGAGGAAGGACAGGAGAGGCCATTAAGGTGGTTTCTTTTCTGAAGCCTGAAAGAGGAGAGGGAAGGCTCATATCTGTGGTGTGGGGCAGAAAGGGTGGGCTTAAGACAATAAGTTGCTTTCTGACCCAAGGTTTCAGGAATTCCTGGGACAGTGTGGACTCCACAGGAAAAGACCTAACTTAGGCAAAAATCTGCTTCTAAATTGGCAGTTTCTCTACTTAACATTCTAGTTTTCTTTTTTTAAAAATTTCTTTAAAGTTTATTTATTTTGAGAGAGCGAGCCAGTGTGAGAGGGGCAGAGAGAGAGAGAGGGAGAGAAAGAATCCCAAGCAGGCTCCACACTATGAGCCTGGAGCCCAACTCAGGGCTTGAACTCATGAACCATTACATCATGATCTGAGCCGAAACCAAGACTTGGACGCTTAACCAACTGAGCCATCCAGGTGCCCCTGACATTCAGTTTTCAAAGAGCTTTCACCTTTACAACGGTCTGATGCTTATGTGTCATCAGTTCCTCCTAGTACCCTGCGGAGCAGCAGGATATAGAGTATTATCCCCATTTTACATAGGAGAAAATGTGGCTCAGGGGGCTAGATGTCAGTTGCCTAAAGCTGTAATCAAGGCTTTAGTTAAGTAGTGGTGTTGGGTTTAGCACTTAGGTTGTCTGGCTAAAATTCAGTAGCCGTTTATTACATTTGTAAACAATCAGGACGGGGAAAAGGCTGCAAGTGAAAGGCTATGTTCCTCCAGGTGGGAGAGATCAGGCCCCAAAGAAGCCAAGCATCTAGGCCACAGGACAGTGCTGCACTTGCCTTGCTCATTTCCTTTGGAGCATCTGGTAACACTCCAGAACCGTATTTTGCATTCAGCTGGGCCAATATGGCAGCTTGAACAGCCGGGTCTCTGGACTGAGAGAGAAAATCAAGTTATTTTAGAGATTTAACGCTCACACAGTCCTACCCACCGACCACCACTAACATCACAAGCACCACAGTGGACCCATCAGCAGCTCAGTGGGGTTTTCCTCAAGGCAGCAAAAAAGAGGCAATTAAAAGCTTTGAAGCCCAGCCCAGGCCAGCCTGGCCCTAGGTGGCCCAGCCCACACATTCCTAACGTCTGCCACATTGGTAAACCCACCCTGCCAAAGGAGGGGTTAGTCCAGACGTTTCTACAAATCCATGCCAGGTTTTCACTACCTATATGTCCTATAGCAAGATAAAAAAAAAAAAAAAAAAGAGATAGCCAGACCTAAGAGTTTGAGGCAAGCAAATCCCACTAAGACAACATTATTTTTAACTTCCTTATTAATCTCCTAATGGAATTCATTTTATGTCCTAGAATCTAGGCCCTGACTAAAAACGTCCTCTTTAGGCACTCACATTAGAAACGATGGTAGGTTTGCACTGCCGCCTGGTGAAGGGATCCATCTGTTGGTTTTTCATGTTGTGACTTTCAGCCTGAAACAGAGAGCTTGCGTTACAGAACTGCGTCTCTTTCCCCGCCTTCACTTATCCTAGCTTACACATACGTAACAGTCTTTGCAAGAGCTTAAAAGAGTCAAAGTCATGTATCATCCTCTTCTCTTCAAGAACACCAGACCAGATATGGGAGCAACAACAAAAGAACAAAACTGGAAACCGAGAAAGACGAACACCTGTGGAGAAGAATCTATGGGATGGGGAGGGATAAGAAGGGCAGAAGACTGCTGCTTTTCACTATAAATCAATACGTCTTATGGGTCTATGTGTGCACACAAACACGTGGATGTGAAGAGTACATGTTACTTCAATAATTAAAAAAATTAACTGGAGCAAGATGTATAGAAGATTTCTTATCATTTTATTAATTAAAATGGTCTTCAGTGATCCAAATAAAGTTGTTTACTCACCACAAGGGCCTTCTCAGACTCTACGATGTTCCACTCCCGGTTCCGCTGGTTGATGTAACTGTGGGTGAGTAAAAGGGTGAGTCAGTCGGTTGGGGAAGGAGGGAGGGAACCACTGAGCCCTGACCCCTGACCCCGGAGCCTCATCCAGCCAGTGCAAGCACAGCATGTGCAAGGCCACGGGCTCACCTGATAACTGTGGCAAGGTCTGTGGGTCCGGGATAGGAGCCCAACCAAAACAGATCTGTAACACACCTGATGGCAGATATGTTCTTGGTCCGCTGGCGGTCCAGGGCCTCTGCCCGTTCCTCTAGCTCATTCAGCTGGTCTTGGATTTGTTTGGCCTTGTCCTGATCCCCCAGGTCCTCAGCCATGGCCTGCACAAGAGAGAAGTGTGAGTTTTTGGCTATGACTGGCTCTGTAACAAGTATCCCCTTACTTTCAGCACAGGCAAGACATCTCACGCAGTGAACAAATGACAGGAGATATGAAAGAACGCTGAAAACAAACTTTACAAATGCAAGGTATAATTCTTATTACAGTAGTAACACCTTGTCATATAGCTATCTGGCTCTGGGCCCCCGGTTGCAGCAATATCTAACATTAACCTTGGAACCCAGGCCCCATGGGGCTGACTCACCCTAACAAGGCTCACCCCATCGTGATGTGAAGAATGGAAAGCCACCCACCTCAGCTGGGTTTGGCAGTATCATTTGTTCAGACCCAGTGCTGATATTACCCTGGGTTCTGTCTTATTACACACGAAACTAAAGGGACTTTCTAGAAAGTAAGGGGAACAGAACAGACACAATCAATTTCAATTTATAGAAAGGAAAATGGCCAAGGGATGCTGCCTCACTGCCTGGAAAGCCCTGTGTTGCTAATGCTGGAGCCCAGCATTTCCCCCCAATCCTGCCACCACTAACTTAGCAGAGGATGAACAAGTCTGATTTCTACACCTTTCAGGATGAGGAAAGAGGTTCAAATGCAAGTCCTCACCTTTTCCTTTAGCAGCTGAGTCTTCTTCATAGCATAGTTGGGTGGAGCTTTCCTGAACCTTTCTTTCTCTTTTACAATCTGTACCAGAGAGGAGATACCAGCAGTGAGGTATTCCTAAACTAGTTTTGTAGACAGGCTAAATGAGCCCATTTTGGAGGCAAGCAGCTAGTTAAGAGGGGGCTGCTCTTCCTACAGCAGTGTCATGCCCCAGAGAGAGAAAGCGAGTTCATTCCAAGGGATACTATGCTGCTTCCAGGGTCACGGAGATTCTTCTGGGACAGTCTGAAGGAACATGCACCAATAAACAGCAGCAGCCCAGGGACCTGGTACTGTAAGGCTAGCCACTGTCCAAGAGAACAGAGATCAAAGAATTTTACCAAAATGTTTTGGAGAAAGGAAACTCATGAAGGACCAAGCCTAGCAGAATACAGATCCTTGAACTCTAAATACACGTCTTTACTCTAGGATTTCAAATGAGAGCGTATAGAGAAAATCTTAATGAATTATAAATAAAGTAGTAATATCAACATTCTCTCATCCTTATGCAATCCTTATGCAGAGTTAAACATATCAAGATATAGGGAAAGAAAAGAAAGTCATGATCTTCTCTAACACTGGTTCTTACTGAACCTCCAATCTCTGGGGTACCAGGTTTCTTACCTCTTCAATGTCCTGATCATTGAATTTATAATTAAGAGCTTCTTTAATAGACAATTCCTTCTTATTGATTTCATCTAGAGTGGGCAACTGCATGCCAGCAGAGAACATCTAGACCAAAACATGATAAAAGCTTATTAAGGGATTTTAGAGACTTTCTCAGGGTCTTCATGAACAATTGGTAGGTGCTATCTATCCACTTACCGCCTCTTTCCACTTCATGAATTCACTTTCAGTGAACTCCTGGTTTGAGACAAACTCTAGGCGGAACACTCGTTGGTCATTGCCATGCCTACATAAAAAAGAGAAAGCATCTCCAAGAATGGGTATGTTAACTGCAGTACCAGCAAAACAACCCTACCAGACTGTGAACCACCTATCTCTGTGGTTCTCAATCCTATCTGCCCTTTAGAATCATCTGGGAAGATCTAGAAATTCCAATCATCTAATCATCTAGGAAGACCTAAAAACTCTAATGCCAAAGCATCACTCTAGCTCAACTGAATCAGAATCTCTGGGAGTAGGAACCAGGCAATGAAATTAAACAAACAATACCTCCCAGGCTGTTTAATGGGCAGCCAGGATAAAGAATCACAGCTACCACTGGAAAAAAAAAACCAACAACAAAACGACTTGGCTAGTGCTTCAAAAGTCCATTTATAATAAAATGTTACAATCAACTGGCAGCGAGAATATGAAATACTATGTAGATATTTGAATGACAAGGAAATTCCATTCCTTAGGAAGAAACTGCTTTAAAAAAAATTTTTTTTTTAATGTTTACTTATTTTTTTTTTGAGAGAGAGAGAGACAGAGTGAGAGTGGGGGAGAGGCAGAGAGAGAGAGGGAGACACAGAATCTGAAGTAGGCTCCAGGCTCTGAGCTGACAGCACAGAGACCGACACGGGGCTCGAACTCACAAACTCTAAGATCATGACCTCAGCTGAAGTCCGATACTTAACCGACTGAGCTGCTCAGGTGCCCCCCAGCTGGCCCTTTTCAAGAAGACCAAGAAAGATGACAGTGCCAGGAGAAGAGAATGGAGACCACAGAGACCAAATAAGGCCATGCTACAGCTGGGTCTATTATCTGTTATTTTCAGTGATCCTGGCAAACTACTTCTATTCCTTTTCATATAGGGTCTCTAGAATTTTCAGGCTCTAAGAGGGCAGGGATTTTCATGTTTCTACTTTGTTTCTGCCTGTATCCTGATGCCCAGAACAGTGGCGGATAGCAAGCACTCAGTAAATATGTTACTGAAGAGAAACGAAGTCCTGAAAGGTGGCTTGACCTGTCAGAAGATGAGGTTAGTGACAGCCAGAAATAGAAGCAAGCCTCCTGACCAGGGTCACCAAGGAAATGCCTGCAGGGCTCTGGGATGAGGGGAGCTTGACATTTTCCTTCTCTATGTCCCACCACGTCTTGTCCCGGATCTCCCCTGTGAGAGGGAGACACCCTACCTTTCCCTACGGGCAAAGGCAGAATATAAGTTTCCCCTCTAAGTCCCCACTGGGCGCAACAGAAATTTACTGTTACAAGAAACGTCACACTGGGAGAGAACAACAGCTCCAACAGGCAGTGCCTGTGCTGAGGCTGCCGCCGCCGCACCTCCCCTACCGTAGCTGTAGCCCTTTGTTTGTTCTGGTGCCACCAAGCTGGTAGACCTTGGCGGTTTCCACAACACCCGTGATCTCAGCCACCTAAGTGAAAGGACAGAGACACCAGTTAAAAACAGACTCTTTCAGAGCTCTCCACATCACTCTCTCTGGCTCTCCTGACCTAACTACAAAGAGTAACCCTGCACTAAGAGGAGCCCACAGCTGCCAGGCGTTCTGGGCACCTTCCTCAGGTTTACAACCCAGATGGCCAAGCACCAGGCGCCCCACGCACAGAGTGGGTGAGCGCCAGGAGAGGAGGTGGTTAGCCTGGCAGGGCCCATTAGGAGCTTCCCCTCTGACCCAGTCTTCCCTTACTAAGGGGATACACTTGGGATTTCAGAGGTCAGTGTTATCAATCAAACACGAAGACCATGGAGGTCAGTTTCTGTTTGTCAAGCTTTCCGGGATGTGGCATGGCTGCTGGTCCTCACAGAAGGAGGTAAACACATATTAAAACCATACAGCCCAGGATAAAACAAACAAAAACAAAAAGAAAAAACATCAAACAGCTATGTTCCAGCCATCCAGATCACAGAAGCAGTGCCAGAACTCACAAAACCACCTCTATTAGGTCAGAGGGTGGTTTTTTTGTGTTTTTGTTTTTAAACCTCAATATAATTCTGTTTCAGAAGTCTCTTGGTATGTAACATGGAAATTTTTCATTTATTTATTTTTCAAATGAACAAAGCTTCCAGATTATGTAACAACCAATGAATACTCCCTTCTTGCTTTTATATGGAAGGGAAATAAAATTATTCTAAATCCAAACCCCCCCACCTTTGGGCTCCAAAGACCGTCTATAGTTCATGCAGGATCTCTGGTCACCTCAGACTGTCATTATTCTATGGGCGTCTCAATTAGAGTCTATTTTCGCATTAAATGGTGGCAGAAAAGTGACAGATCTGTGTCATTCAGCAGCTCCTATTCCAGTTGAGAATCATTATATTTAAAACACGGACAATTGTCCAGGAAAGAAACACCAACCCGGTAAACTGGTTTGCTGTTGTGGTTTCCAATGCCAATCCGTACAAAACATCCTGTGACAGTTTTAGCAAAGAAGGGCATGTGACACCAACGTTCCAGCTTATGCCGTGATAATCGAACCCGATTCAATTCCTCGGGTAAGGAGACGGGTTGTGATTTGGGAGGGATCTCTTCTTTCCTGTGAGGAATAAAGGACACTGAGAAAAGTGTTCCTCATAAAAACAGGTCAAGATACATAAATACTACCGTTTCTTAAGACTTGACTTGACCAAAGTACATGTGATTAACCACCGAAGAAATAAATGAAGCAACAGGAAAGAGTGGTAATAGAATCCTGTTCCTAATGGTACTGTGAACTGTCTTCAATGACGTGGTCATCCCAGATAACCTATCAGAGTAAGAAAACAAATGGAAGCTCCAAGACGGTCTGAGGATGACATGAAGTCAGTTCCTACCTGCCAGGCCCAGACAAAATGTCCAGGGGTGCAGTTAGCTAAGAGCCAAAGGCAGGAGCATATTTTCTGGGGAACTCAGCTCTGCAACTGAAGGTGCTAAACCAAATCAAAGTTCACCATCCAAACAAGACGATTTTGGAAACTACACTAAGCTTCTTCCCAAAGAACCCACCTAA